AGGCAAACTCAAAAACCAATCCATTTGTGAGGTTTCAGTATGTAACCATCCCCACTCAAAGCGTCTATGTGTCTGGCAAACTCAAAAACCAATCCATCTGTGAGGTTTCAATATGCAGCTATCCCCACTCAGCGCGTCTATGTGTCTGGCAAACTCAAAAACCAATGCATCTGTGAGGTTTCAGTATGCAGCTATCCTCACTCAACACGTCTATGTGTCCGGCAATCTCCAATACAAATCAACCTGTGAGGTTTCAGTATGTGTCTTTCCTGACTCAAAGCGTCAATGTGTCCGGCACTATCCAACATCTCTCAACTCGTGAGTGCAGCAATCCCCACGCAGCGCGTCTATGTGTCTGGCAAACTCAAAAACCAATCCATCTGTGAGGTTTCAGTATGCAGCTATCCTCACTCAACACGTCTAGGTGTCCGGCAATCTCCAATACAATTCACCTCTGAGGTTCAATATGTGTCTATCCTCATTCAACGCGGCCATGTGTCCGGCACTCCAACATCACTCAATCCGTGGGGTTTCAGTATGCAGCTATCCTCACTCAACACGTCTAGGTGTCCGGCAATCTCCAATACAATTCACCTCTGAGGTTCAATATGTGTCTATCCTCATTCAACGCGGCCATGTGTCCGGCACTCCAACATCACTCAATCCGTGGGGTTTCAGTATGCAGCTATCCCCACTCAACCCGTCCATGTGTCTGGCAATCTCGAACCTCACTCAACCCGTGGGGTTTCAGTATACAGCTATAAGTCACTCAACACGTCTATGTGTCCGGCAATCTCCTACATCACTCAACCTGTGAGGTTTCCGTAAGCAATCCTCACTCCACGCATCCATGCGTCACGCGTCTTTGGTAGCGCATACTATGGGGGCTATATTTGGGGTGGCGTGTTTTACAGCGCTTTGCCAACAGCACCAACCCACTGAAGTCTAGATTGCGNCGTCTTTAGTAGCGCATACAATTGGGGCTATATTTGGGGTGGCGTGTTTTACAGCGCTTTGCCAACAGCACCAACCCACTTGAGTCAGGGGGGGGGTGGTCTACGGTTTGCAAAAATTCTGAGCGAATCAACGACATCAAGCAGGTGCGCAGGTAAAACTGGACGAAGTGCCCGTGCTTCAACAATCCTGACATTCAGGTCTATCGTAGCGCCGCGGGGCAAAAGCGTGGATGGACACCGACTATCCACCTCTCACCTGTACACCAGCGACACGGTTTTCCGTGAGGGCAGGGGAGTCCTTCCCGTACGCGAACGCCAGCGACAGCTTCGTGAACTCCGGCACGCCTGTTTAGACAAGCGATGGCATCCGACAATAACTGTAACTCGAAGTACATGTACGAGAGCGTGGGACTTCGCGGGCACGATCAGTCTGCCACACTCGCGAAACTGAGTTGCGTCATTGAATCAAGGCAGGGCATGTTCGAGTTCATGAGCGTATTTTTATCTCTGTTTTCTGTTCCCTGGGTAAGTAATGCGGGAATACCTTGATGAGAGCACATGTACTTGCGCAGACTTGGTTGACATATCTTGCACGATAAAAAACGGGACCAGGTATCACTTTTGAAGGCATCAAACCCTTTTCTCTGCGAGCTCACCTGCTATTCCAGCGTACTCGTGATTGAAGGATTTGTCGAGCACCAGCTTCTCTGCCTTCCTCACAGAGTCCAGTACGAACGGCTTTCCGTCGTCGCCCCTGTAGGCACCGACCCCAAGGCTAACCTTGTTCGGGTTCGTGTCCTTGTTGAAAGTATCTGCGATTGATACGAAGAGAGGAAGTATGAAACAACACGTTCATCCATCTAACAAAACACATGTATATCACACATACGTTTCGATAAACACGGCTACGTAGTTGGGGCAAAGGATACGCTACCATGGTAGGTGTGTGGATCTGGGTTGTTGCGTTTCGTTCACGAGGATGTGCCCCTGTGTGTGCATTGCGCTGTTTCACACGCAATTCAGCAGCACACTATTGGTCCCTGTACAAGGCCGCATAGTGCCACTGGACGTGGCCGACCTTTATACCGGACACCCCACTGTATACCGGACACCCGGTACTATTCAGAGCGTAAGCCAACTTGAATATTCCATCTGTGTCACGCCGGATTAATGGCCCAAAACAGGGCGACCTGGCGGTCTTACACAGCGATACAATACTGCTGTAGAAAGGCTCTCCCCGACAGCAGCCGAACACAAACAACTTCAACCCTACAAGAAAAATTACATGAACCTCTAGTACAGCAGTATACGTTCGACTGTGGTCATATCTCGAACGGCTAGTCTTTCTGTGTTTGTCTTTATGTTTCGGCAGCAACGGGCACATGTGCAGTTGCGTTAGGCTAATGGTTGAACTCCATGTGTCGCGTCAGGTATACCAGCAGCACGTTGAGAGAGTATGCTTGTGCTGCCACCTTCCTTGCTGCAGAGTGTAAGGCTCACCGGTGAGTCCCAGGATTGGGTCAGCAGGTCCCATGGGCATTTCACTCCACAAACTCATGGTACGGGAGCCGCCTGCTGTTGCGGTTCGCACACTTGTGCTTGTATTAATCTTGCTCACGAGCCCGCCTCGAACACGACTGAAGGTGGCACGTAGCATTGACTTGGGGGGAGGGGGGGACAAACACGCGACACGGGAACACGAGGAAAGGGCGCATGAACGAGAAATCTCAAGAACATCGAGTGGACACAGCAGTATGATATCACCTTGTTGAACCCGACCGGCGACTTCAACAATACAATGACATGGTGTGCATACGACAACCGTGGTAAACTGCGGCAAGTGAGGATACAGAGTGCATGTGGACCTCGGAAATGCCTACATTGGTTCTGCGGTAGACCTGCTACACATCCATACGCAAACAGAGGTGTGGTACCGGCACACGGTTTCTTGAAGCTACTCGTGGAACAGTCTGGGGTGGACAGCGGATGATAGACGAATGCTGTTTGTTCGTTGTTGGACGCTTGCGAGCGCGTGTGCTTGCGCTTGCGTAGTCTGATCATGGTTGATATTGTATTTCAAACTGCAACAACGACGGCCACCTGGCCCAACGACACATCGCACGTATTGTATGCGCCCCCATCTAAACCTCAACCTACAACAAGTATGTTCGTCTTGTGAGACATGTACTGAGGGATTAAAACACGCTAAATCCCGCCCGGATGTGCTCTTAATATCGCAAGGGATGACGTGGATCATGCGAAAGGGTCGGCTGTTGTTCGACGGGCACGCATCATATTAATGATTTATAGACCAGAACGACTGCACTCACCTCGTTGATTCCTTGCGGGAGCGGCTAGATATTGTCCAACCGCTTTCGGTGAAGTGTGTCGTGAGCGGTACCGAATCTCGATGAAGCGATTTGTCACCACAAGTGCTGGCCCTCGTGCTGCTGATTGTTGGGCGTGCCTCTTGCTTGGTAGGCGAGGTGCGGTGGTATTTCGCCCGCAACCGCACCCCTCGCTTGTACTGCCATCCGAAGAGCCGCTTGGCCCATGCCGAAGGACATTCAACAGCCAGCGTACAGCATCATCACCGCTGTCGCTACGCTGCTTAGCACCACAGCAGCAGCAGCTATTGTCAGTGTTGTGACCAGCACAGACCGCAGCAAGGGCATGGCGCGCGCTTCAACCCGTTGCCGGTGCCGCAGGCGGTGTACGGGAGCATGGTCGGCGATGTTGGTCTCTACGTCGCTGATGTCCGCACCTTTGTCCAACACTGTCGTTGTCGTCAATGGTTTCGGTGGCATGTCCCCGCCAGCTACGTCGCTGCCTTTTCCTGCCTTGACGCTCGGTAATCCCCATTCATCGGAAGGAACTAGGTATGTAGCCTATAAGAGGTCGTGACTTCCTTGCGTTCTGCTGTGTCGGGACTCAGCAATACATGAACGGTCCAAGATCGGCCGTTCATCACACCAATAATGAAAGTCTCCATGATAGCCGTTGCCTGTACCGCCGCCGTACGACGCAAGGGCACCCTCAGCGGCACCCTGTAGGTTGGGGAAGCGGCATGTGTGTGGTGTGTAAATCGAAGCGATGGGCGCGTACATGATGTGTCGCTGCCGAGCATGGTTTCAGTGCGCGAACTTGATGGTGTCTGGTATCCATACGCAAGCTGTTATTCACATGGTGTACAACGTCAACGAACATGCATTGCGACCTCACCCGGGAGATCAATTACAGGAGCAGAGCAGCGTGGGCGTGCCTCAGGCGATATGGCCGGGAGCGCTTCGACAGACCGAAAGCGCCATTCCGACCCAACATCCGCTTGCTGCAGGCGGAGGCGATGGAGGCACTGCTGTACGGCTGCCTGACATGGTCACCACTCAGCGGCCACTATCAGACGCTGCGGTTGATACACCACCGACTGCTCCTTCGAGTTACAGTAGAGGTCCCTGTTTAGTGCCGATTGAATAGTGCCGGTTGCCGTTATAGTGCCGGTGTTTTCGGCTCGCACACACTGGAATATCAAGTCGTTCCGTTCTTTGGATAGTGCCGGTGTCCGGTATAGTGCCGGTGAAATTTTTGCGCACACCCCGGCACTAAACAGGGACCTCTACTGTATCGGATACAAGCGCAAGAAAGACACCTACCGGCAGCTCTCGTACGCCCAGACGCTGAAGAGGGNTCAAGTCGTTCCGTTCTTTGGATAGTGCCGGTGTCCGGTATAGTGCCGGTGAAATTTTTGCGCACACCCCGGCACTAAACAGGGACCTCTACTGTATCGGATACAAGCGCAAGAAAGACACCTACCGGCAGCTCTCGTACGCCCAGACGCTGAAGAGGGTCGAATGCCAGAGCGTTGAAGCCACGATCCGACAACGCCGCCTACTGTTCGCGGGAGCATTGACAAGGCAGCCGGACGGGCGACTCCCGAAACGATTGATGCTCGGCGAACTGGCGGGGGGGGAGAAGCGACGTACGGGGGGGACAGGAGAACAGAACTGGCCGAAGTGTGTACTCAACGACCTAAAGGCATTCGGGGCCGACCACGGATCTACGAAAACCGATCCATGTTGTCTCGGAATCCCGGTACCGAAAGACACGGCACCGAAGTTAATGTGGA